GCCCAGTCCACTGTGAGTGGGGCTGCCCTGAGCTGATGGTCCTGGGTTCTGAGCAAGTCATAGAGTGAGAGAGTTAGCGGCACCCCTCCATGGCCTCTACATCCGATCCTGCGCCAGGCTCCTGCCCTGTTCGAGTTCCTGCCCTAACTTCCTTCAATGATAAACGGTGATGTGGAAGCATAGGCCAAATAAACACTTTCCTTCACAAGTTGCTTTGGTCATGGTGCTTTATTACAGCAATAGTGACCCTAACTAAAACAAGCAACTTTTATAAAACCTCTGCTATGCAAATCTCAATTCACTCTTTGGCTTAAGTCAAATACCCCTTTCCAGATATATATCTTTTCTCTGTGACATCTAGATTCGATTCTGACAGGTCCCAGAGTATGTGGTATCTTGCTTGCCTTTTCTACATATCTGACTTCTTGCTCTACAAGGCTAGGCATCCTAACAGCCAACAGTTTCCCGTGTAGCCTCATGCTCTTAGGAGGCTTCATACTGGTTGCCATGTGGGCAGACACTGGTTGTGAAAAGAACGGAGCAAGGAAAAGACAGAGCAGAAGAACAGGGGGGAGAATGGAGAAGACCAGAGAAGCAGGTAGCTTTCCTGAAATCACTGATTCTCACTTCGGTACAAAGCACAACATTTTGAGGCTCACCCCACAGTTGCCAGTGGAAAATACATTGCTACAACAGCAATAAATATTAAGGCTCCCTTTGCTTTTGAAACTAAGACGATGCTGCATGAAGACATTTAACCTGGAAAGTTCACTACAGAACACATAAGGGCAGGGCTTCCTAAATGTAAAACAAGGGGCCACAGAAAAGATTAAGCCTTTTATTATCACCGTTTCAAACAAGCACCAACAGGGTGGCTTTGCAAGCCTTTTATTCCGGGATGTGAATTTCCCTGTTTAATTGAAACAAGAGTTGAAAGCTTAGAAAGGGACTCAGGACAGCAAAGGAGCCTAGAAAGAGAAAGGACATGTAATTATGTATTCTGTTAGGCAGAGAGGAGAGGACTTACACAGCTTAATCTCTATAGCATTTCAAACAGACACACTAACCACCTTCTTTTAAAGCCATGAAATGGCACTGAAAAAAAAAAGTTAAAAAAAAAAAACTTCAGTAAAATAAAACAGCCACCTTTTCATTGCTTTGGCCCCAGAATTAGATGCAAAAGTATTATTGACCGTGGTGAGGAAATGAAAGGGAAAGGGGGGGGGAGGGAAGAAAGAGAAAGAAAAATACTCTTTGTCTTGGAAACAGACACATCTGCAATAACTGTAAACTAGTATTTATTATAGAGAAAATGTCAAATCTAAGAAATTAAAGTGATACCACAAGGACACAGTCTTCAAAGGTTAAAAAAAATATTACAGAACAAATAAAATCCTAACTGTTCCCAGTAGGACTAAAAGCCTGAAGTGCGGTTCACCAAAGCTAACAAAATAGATCACACACAGAGTCTTTATAATTCAAGAACAAGGAACTCAATTGGGGAGGAAATGAGAGCCCTGAGCTATTGGGATTTGACTCAGCTCCTTCTGCCCACAGAGTCCTTTTCCTCCGTGGAAATAAATTAGCTTTACCCAGGCTCCTAAACACACTCTCCAAGATCATTCCATGGGCTTTTATCATCCTGACTTTTTTTTTTTTTTTGTCTCAGTTTCTTATACTGCCTGTCTTAATTAAGGTTTCCATTGCAGTGAAGAGACACCATGACAAAGAAAGTGAAGCTTTCCCGGAGTTAATAAAAGTTATAAAAACTGAGGAAAAGAACACAATAAAGAAGATATGAAGAACCTACATGAAAAATAGAAACAAGTACACCAAACAAACAAACAAAAATAAAATAAGGGCAGATATTCTTCAGTAGTGCTTCCCTGGACAAGCACGCCTGATGTTATGAAGAATGTCCTTGTCTGATGGCATGTCCAGCTGTTTCTCTTCTCTGGGCACAATCTCTGTCTTAATCCCTACGCATGTCTAGCTCGCTGACGCTCCCATACACTTCTTGAACACTTTAATTTCTTATATTTGACATGTTCTCCCTATTAGGGAAAAAGACAATTCATGAAAATTATCTAGGAATTTTTTTTGAAGACAGGGTCGCTCCAAAATCTATTTCACACTTTCTTAATAAACTGCCACGTGAAAAAGAATAATCCACATGAAGTCAGGAGGGAAATGAGATGTGGGTCCCAGGGGAAGGAAGTAAAGGTGGGCAGCGGTGGATAGATGTGGTCAAGATATGTCGCATACATGCATGAAAATTTAAACGAGTCCATAAAACACTGTTATGTTTAAAAAGAGCAACAGATGTAGCTGAGCGGTAGGTAGAGCATCCATTATGCACCAGGTTTGAGGTCCAGTCTCTAGGACTGGGGAAAACACTGTGTCAATGCAATCACTTGGGATGTAGCTGCCGTATGATGTGAGCTGTCTCCCATGAGCCCGTGTGTTTGGATGCTTGGTCCCCAGCCTAGGCGGCTCTTTGAGAAAGATAGAAACCTCTTGGGGGATAGGGTTTACCTGGTGAAGTTGACTCAGTTTGGGCAACCTTTGAGGATAATAGCCCAGACCAGCTTCAGTCTGGTTCTCAGGAGCCTTCCCACCGAGCTGAGAAAGACTACTGCTGTGCACTCCTGTCCAGAGCTGTTCCTGCCATGATGCTCCGTGATGGGGTCTAGCCTCAAACTGTGAGGCTGAAGAAACCCTGCCTGCCTCACCTTACTTCTGCGGAGTATTTGCCTCAGTGATGAGAAAGGTCACCAACACAACAACTTTTAAAATGAGCTTTTTTTTTTTATTTAACATGAGTCCTTGAGATCCAAGTTTTAAGTATCAACAGTTCTTTCGTTTTTACAATTCAATAATATTTCAAGGTAGTGATATAGCAGAATCAGGTTTAATCATTTACTAATGGTAAGCTGTGTTTATTTCTAGTTGGTAGCTTTTTAATATAAATAAACCAGCTGTAAACACTTGTGTTACAAAACAGAAAAAGTGAGTCATCAACCAGGGACCTTTGAGTAGCACTGATTTGTCTGCCAGGCCTTTCAAATATGCTTGTGGGAACAGGTATGAGAAAGACAAAAATACCTTCCAGGAAACCACAGCTCCTCAGTGTTCTCTCTCATGAATGAATAGTGGAAATCAGGTTAGATTCATTAGCTAGAGCCCAATGTCCCCTTGGGGACTGATTAAGTGTAAATTATTGGAGTTAGATACAGAGTGTCCTAACTCTCCTTGAAATTCAATGATTTGATGTTCTTAAGTAATCCCAGTTTGCTCTAACTGATGGACAAAGACCAGATGAGAGGATGTATTTCCCAGGTCAATGGATAAACTGTCAATTGATCTATCTGTCTGTCTGTCTATATAATCTATCTATCCATATATGTATATATAATATATTCATATATATATATATGTATATATATTTATATATATGAGAGACAGAGAGAGAGAGAATTGATATCCTCCTGAGGACTGCATCCAAGACTGAAAATGTCCCCACCAAAATTCCTCAAAGATTTTCCACTTAAAGTTTCTTAAAAGAGAGGCCTAGGCAAAGGGAAGTGCTTGTGGCACCAGGTGGTCAGGCGCCATTATGTTGAGTGAGGATACGGTGAGGAAATGGCAGGGAGAGACAGGCAGAAGAGCTTGCATGTTCAGAAGAGAGGCAGATCTGGCCAGTCAAGGACAGAAAGGAGCGGGTTGACATGGGTGGTCCACCTGCCTCCTGGGGTCATGGTGATGTCAGGGCCTGGACTGCTGCCAAGGGCCGTGTTTTTGTCCAGGGCCTTGGCACGTCTGTGTTGATGTCCATGACTCCTGTTACCACCGAGGGTCCAACAGGCTGGCAGAGTCGAGGCTGCCACCTGTGACCATGTTGGTGCCCCAGGGATGTGCCCCCACAGGGGCTGTGCCAATCTAAGAGACCTGCTCTGCTACCTGGGACCATAGTGACTTCCAGGCCCAGACTGCTGCTAAGACCAATGAATCCTATTTTCAAAAGGTCCGGGATATTTAAAGTACAAGCAAGGCTGAGAACTGCTGAGCCAGAATGAGAATCAGGTTTATGGAGAGCACGAGACCTAACTCGAAACCATTCTCACACAGTTCCTATTTAATGGCTCTTTTAATGTAACAATAAAAATCAAATTATGTAACTTTGATTTTCTCTTTACTATCCTATCAGTTGTTCCTGGTACCTCTACTGTGTACTCCTGGAAAAGCGAGCATCCAGAGCCACAGATACAGGATGCTGAGAAAGGCAAGGGCTGCCCCGAGCAGCAGCTGGACCTTCTGATAGCTGTTGCTAGGTTGTTGTTAGGGGCAGGGGAGAATTAACCCCTGATTTTTAACATTTTCTGGTCATATGCTTTTTGTGTCTTTCCCATATTAAAAATACCTGATCATCTATACTCTTTACTCAATTCCTTTCACTGTTTTTCTATATAGAAAATTTGGAATTCAGAAAAATCTAAAGAAAAATAATGTTTTTCTTGCTTTATTTCCCAGAAGTAACTTGGTTTATACTCAGTACTTTAAAAAACATAATATAGATCCATAGAGCTGACACTGTAGTGTGTATTTGTGTGTGTGTGTATGTGTGTGTGTATGTGTGTATATGTGTGTGTATGTGTGTGTGTGTGTGTGTGTGTGTGTGTGTAAGCATGGAATAGATTGGAAAGAAACCCACCGAACTATTTCAACCAATCATCTCAACAATCTCAGAAGACCAGGATCTGACTCACTATAGCAGGTGTTGAAGGTCGGAGAAATAGAAAGAAAATCAACTAATAACCAGTTTGTGCTGTGTTTCTAAGGTTGTGTCATAAGCCTCAGCCCATGGCATCCAATATTCTTCACAATCAGCATCATATTATTAAAGAAAACTCCACATGTTATTGAAATACTCTGTTGCAGTATGGTTAATCACACCCAGTTTCTCAAATTTGCAAACAATGCTTTAATTAACATCTAAGTACCTTGTCTGAGACTTTGATTAATTCCTGGGGAGGAGAAATAATAGGCCAAAGGTATGGATGCTTCAAAAACTGCTTGATGTGAATTGCTAACATGCTTTCCAGAGTGAGAAACCAATTTATATTTTCAGCTGGAGAATATCTTTATTTTTTTTTTCACTATAGCGAATGTATCCATGTAATTGTGCATATCCCCCAGGGAGCTGTAAGAGAGAATGTTCAATAAAACTTTTAAATCAATATGTTTCCTGGTAACTTATTCTTCCCTCCCTACATTGCTGTTTGGTTTTGTTTTTCACAAGGCCTCTTTGGAAGAAGGTTGAGAGCTTCCTTACCAGGAAACTTAAAGACAGAGACACTAGACAGAGAACAAGCATGAGGGAGGGGCCGCCAAGGTTTTCCTTCAGAGGGAAGAGAGGCAGTGTAATGGGACAGTCACCACAGCTAAGAAAAGTGAGCCAGGGTGCAAGGGAGGCAACTGAATGCTGCCCATGTGAGGAAGGTCCAGCCGTTCACAGCAAGTCATTTTGGGTATTAACAAGACCTCTCTGGGAGCAATTTTGTAAACCAAGCTGCATAGTGAGAAACTGAAGACAGCCACTGAAATACTAGGATCAAAGAAAGAAAAATCAAAACTGGAGCAGAAGTTGTAGCAAGGATCCAAAGCAAAAGCAAGCTGGCAAAGAGTCAGTGCAGTATTTGGTTTTCTTTTTCTTTTTTTTAAATTTTATTTATTTATTTTTTTTTTGTAATGTGCTGAGATTTCTGTGCTTTGAAGGTGATATTTATTTAACAATTATTTATTAAGCAATAAGTGCCAGTTGGGGTGTTAGGCTGTCACTGACCACCAGCCAAGCAGAACAAAATAACATTGATCCACATTCTATGAACAGAAAGTTTGGGCAAGGCTGCAGACAGATCAATAAGACGATTCCACCTAAGTGCAGGGAGCTGCCGTGAGGGGAACCGTATGGAGATGCATGGCCGGGACACAGAGCCAGGCAAGATCCGTGAGAATTCCTGATGGAAGGAAAGCTGTCTTCTCCCTTTAGCAAGCAGAGGCTATCTGGATGGGCAGGAACTTTGGGCAGGTGGGCAAAGACGCCAGTCAGAAGGAAGCAGAGGGCCAGGCTTCAGCCAGGAACACTGAGCAGGGAATGGGAACTGAGAACTGGGCCCCTGTTATGGGAGACTCAGATACACTGTTTCCACAAAACTGAACAACCCAACAAAAGCTTTGTATAAAGACAATTCATGTAACAGGCAAAGTGGTGCTTACTAAATATTACAGCACACACTGATACATGATCCACAGGTGTGAATGACCCAAACATTTGATTTGCTTTCCTTACTTCTGTTAAGAAAAGAAAGTGAGTTGTTTGTTTAATCATTCTTTGAATTGATCTGGGATGAGATGGACAGAAAAGGTCTAATTTAAAGTTAAGATTTATTTAGTCAATAAACATTGGCTAAGCAAGAAACACCAACTCTGGGAAGCGCTCTAGTCAGCTCCCGTTATATTCACACATAACAAAAAATTGTCAGTATTGTTGTTCAGTATCTTACCACTACAGAGTAGTGCAGGTAATATTTCCCAGTTTCAAAAAATATCTTATTTTAAGCTGTGTGGTCATGGTGCACGCCTTTCATCTGAGCACTCGGGAGGCAGATGCAGGTAGATCTCTGTGAGTTTGAGGCCAGCCTGGTCTACATAGTTATAGTTCCGGGACAGTCAGAGCAATATAAAGATATCCTGTCTCAAAAATTAATTAGTTAGTTAATTGAAATCTTATTTTTATTCAAACAGAAACAATTGAAGTATCAAATGATATGATAGTAGCTAATGGTGAGATTAAAGACTATTACATGAACTTAAGTGTAATTCCCCCAACTTAAGCCATGCCAAAAGCTGTATAAGAGGCAAATCCACCCAGAACCAGACACACTGCCTTTTATTACGCCCAAATCTGAATAATAGTTTCTCTACAGAAAAAATACACTAGTCAAATTTATGGACAGTCAATTTTAGAAACAAATCATGCTACATAAAAGAAATCTTCCCAGAACTATGACAGAATGTTCTGTAACCATGGTAATAGGTAGGCACAAGAAGCTTTAAACATTAATCCGTGTGCCAGTTCTATGGGTTTAGAACCACAACACTGGTCTGAAACTTGGTGAGCAGCTCACTGCCGAGGGACCTGAGCATCAGTAAGTCAGGAACAGACCACCCTGATAACAGGCCTCTGCGCACCCAGCCAAAGCAAGGGAATGGCTTCTGCTGTTCACATCACACATCCAGTCCCAGAATCCTCCTTCTCAAGAGGGAGACGCACCGCAATACAGTAAAGTCTGTTTTTTAACTGGCAGGAAAGACTGTGTGGGGTCAGCTTCTAACTCCACATCAGTAAATAAGCAAACCTGGGAAGTCTTGCTTCTTTTTCTGGTATTACATGGCGTCTCTTCTTTGAAGAGACATCTTATTTCAGGTTCTAGCAGACACTGCACACGGCATCCTTCCATTAACAAATGAGTTTGTTGATCTTCTCCTGAGCTGAGTATCGCGTCCCTGGCACTAATGTGATGTATGACATGAAATAGAATGCTTCACAGGTCATGTTCATGCTGGAGGCTTTTCTACAGCAATAATTCATAAATATTATGAGAATAAATGTGTATTTAAATAAAACGATGGCACGCCAGGTAGGAATAATTAAATTCTGAAGAATTAGAAGGATGGATACTTTTTAACTTTCCCGTATTTCTTGAGGCTCATGGAAAATCAGAAATACAAAATATAAAGGCTTTAAAGATACTTAAGAGCTTAAATCATTTTGCTGTATTTCTACCCCATTCCTTATACAAAGTAAGTTCTGGATTGGTTAAGATGTACTTACTATGAATTTATATAAGTAGAAAATTTCGAAAAATTAAATGCAGGGTTGAGGACCTGTTTGGAGGACCTTATATTACACGGCACTATAATTAATTTAAGGATCACTATGCAAGGATGCAGTGATCACTAAATGTGGCTCAAGTAAAACGTAAAAGAATGTCACAAAAGATTCTAAAAACCAGTGTTCAAAGCCTGATCAGAGCCAGTCAGGGGTGGCACACACCTTCAATCCCAGCACTCAGGAGGCAGAGACAGGCAAATCTCTGTGAGTTCGAGGTCAGCCTGGTCTACAGAGCAAGTACTAGGACAGGCTTCAAAGCTACCCAGGGAAATCCTGTCTCTAAAAACAAAACAAAAGAAAACAAAATAAAAAGGCCTGATTTGACCTGGAAAAAAAAACAATATGTAAAACATAGATACTACAAAAGATTACTGTTCCAAAGATAAACAATGCCAAGTGTAAAAGGGAAAAGTCACCAGGAGGAACAAACAAACATCCAGGGAGTGCAGAAGGACAACTCACTAAGAAGGACAAAATGAAGGAAAGCAAACAGTCACAATACGCAGGAAATGCAGGGTGTGGGCTACGTTTCTATTCCTATTATACAGGTGACAGTTTTGTGAATTCTGTAGCTAGCCTTAGACAAACAAACACTCTACAGACTACGTAAGTCCGTGATTCCATTTCTTTGTGTGAACTCCTGGGATAGTCCTGTTAACATCTAAAAGACACCCAGCAAGACAGTGAACCAGAAGAAACTCCTACTGTCCATCAGAATGGTGTATTTATACAAATATTATGCAGTTATTCAAATTAATTAGTGAGATATAAAAGTATCAACAAGGGAAGCCCACCAAATATGGTGTTACTTTTAGTAAAATAAAAAAAAATATATCAAACCTCAGAAGGATATGCCTAACATTTACATCTATTTCAATTTCCAAACAGCAAATGATACATACCATAACAGTGATTCATTCTGGGGACGGGGGATTAAATAACAATAGAGCGTGACTCCATCTTTAAAGTCCATTACTTCAGAGACAGAGGAACGTAACACAAATACAGCACAGATTGATGGATGCCCGTGGTAAGTACAGGGGTGTCCATTATACACAGACTGCATGCCAGAAATCTTTTATAGTCAAAGTCAATTTTAAATTAGAGCAGAGGCTGGAGAAACCATGCCCATGGTGGATGTATGCATAAAATCTAAAACATGACTGAGCCATTTATTTTCACGGGGAACTGAAATGGACTAAAAATGATTCCTAAATGCTGATACCCCTATTTAGTTTTGTAGCATCAACTTTCTAAGTTCACGTAGGATTTATTCCTTTAATTTGGAAAACCTATATCATAAACAGCAATGTTTAATAAACTCCTGATGAATCCTATTTGACTTTAATAACCCATGGCTTTCTTTTGCTTCCTACTTCTAGACATGGGATGAAATCGTAAGTAAATACTGAACAATTTTGATATGTGTGTATTTCTTTTCATTTCAAGGAAAGTGCCTTGGCATGTTGCTTTGCTTGTGAATTTTGTTTAAAAAATTATATTTTTAAATTATTTCGACGCACCTGCTATAACAGTTTTAGGATGCATCGAGCCTTAAATTTAACAGAACACAGTCTTCTCCATCTGATCAATACAGGAATCAATTGGCTGCCTCCATTAGGATGCTAATGCCCTTCTCAGTTGTCGAGTTACTGGAGAGAAACACAATTTACTACTCCTCTGAGGTTAAGCATTCGAGGGGGAAAAAAAGATTTCATCAGCTTTCCAGCAGAACTGTTTTCTAAAGACAGTGTTGGAAGACTCACGTTGTAGTGGACAAATGAAACTACCCAACAATGCCAAATCCAGAAAGACAACGGAGGGCTGTTGAGCACTGTGGTTTTCTTGTTTAAAACGCCTTCTTTTCCAGTAAGTTTTCCAAGGGGCCTGGGCAGCTTTAATTGGCTTATTTGTATGCTGAGAATATTGTTAGCTCAAGCTAAGATTTCCTGTACAGGAAGAAAAGAAAGACAGAAGCTACTATTGTTTGATTCAGTCTTTCCTGCGAGCCAATTTATCCCCTCAGCAAAACAAAAGGGATCAATGGGATAATGCAAACCTGCAGCTCACAAGCAAACACCTCACTCAATGGGATAATGCAAACCTGCAGCTCACAGGCAAACACCTCACTCAATGGGATAATGAAAACCGCAGCTCACAGGCAAACACCTCACAAAGCTTGTGCTCTTCCATGCATTTCCCTTGTTTGCTTTGGGTGATGTTTCAAAGACAATACTGTTTCTAGGATGTTTTAGAAAGAAAAGCAAAAATAATTTTATCTCATAAAATGCCTTAACACTTCTTAGCAGACACATACATACACTTTTAAAAGAGGAAAAATAAAACAACATAAAACAAATCTAGTGTCACATAATATGGATACATTTTGTTCTCAGTTTATTCAGCCTTTCCTAACAAAATGTCACAGAATAAAAGTCCTATGATATATAATTTCCTAAAAACCATCCTTAGTATGTCTAGTGGCAAGCATGAGAGCTCTTCCCCACAATCCGCATTCAAGGTCAGTCAGTCTAGGCTACAGCAGGAGCTCTCCTTAAAAAATAAATAAATAAATAAAATAAAAGAGCAGCAGTAATTACCTGACAAGTGTCTACTGAGTCCTAGCTGTGATCCACACCACCTGGACCACAGTTCTGCGCACTGTCATTACCCGTGCCTCCAACTCCAAGAGCTTTATCTGTAGTTCACCTAGAAATGCTTTACAAAATGGAACCGATTTGAATTCCCAGCCGGGCAGTGATGGCGCACACCTGGAATCCCGGCACTGGGGAGGCAGAGGCAGGTGGATCTCTGTGAGTTTGAGGCCAGCCTGGTTTACAGAGTGAGTTCCAGGACAGCCAGAATTGTTACACAGAAAAATCTTGTCTTGAAAAACAAAAAGAAAAAGAAAGAAAACAGAATTTGAATTCCCTGTGCTTAGCACCAAAATGCATGTTTAAGTACCTAATCGCATAGCCCCGAATGATTTCCCAGCCACCTCCATCAAACACAGAAGCCTGCGTGAGTGTAGTGCACAGTTCATGGTTGGCTCGGACCTTATTGGAGCGCAGCCTCCTCACACCCTGAGCTCAGAGACCTCTCATCTCACTTTTCCTACGCTCAGCATCTTAAAAGCTGAAATCTACCCATTCCACCCATCTGATCTTACAGCCATAAATATCACGTAATTAGCCGCTCGGTTTCATAAGGTGCTCAAAAACTAGCGCAACTCTGTCATGCTTTTGTGACCACACACACACATACAAGCCTTGCCTTTAGTGGTTACTGAGTACAAACGGGCACACTGATTTGCAGTGTTCATTTGGAAATGAGTCTCAGGTGTCAGAGGCCCCTGCGCAGTGTTTTGAGAAGAGGGAGGAAAGAGTCCTAAGGACGTCTAAATTAATCCTGCAGAGCAAAGAATACGAAAAGGCGAGAAAAAGGAGGGAAGCGGGAGCGAGGAGGCGTGAGGTCATAGCTTGGACCAAAAGGTGACAAACTAAGTGCTAATAAGAAGTTTTTATAAAAGTGAAAAGAAACAAAAATACAGAACGGGGAAATTTTTCACTTGAGAATGAATGGTCCTGTGAGACAGCGATGCCGAAAGGATCAGCAGTTCCCAATCTCGCCGTGTCTCGTGGGTTCGGGGAACTCGTCATCTCTGAGTTCATCACAATGCCATCAGCATTTGCTCCAAACTCATAAATCTGGAACAAATCCTGTTAATTAAAAGGCATTCTGCAGCCATTCGTGAGCTGTTCACGCAGCAGAGGACCATGGAATCACAGTCCAGAGTCTCACCCTAACGAGAAGACACACAATCACCAATACATACCACTCAGCGTATTTCTCAGCCACCCAATGTTCGACACTGTGGGATACAAAATGGGCGAATTAATATATTTGTGATCTGAACGGATCTAGAGGAAGAATAATGAAGCACTGGGAATGGAGACTAATTCAAACAACATAATTCAGACCCGTCCAGTAAAGGGTCTGATTTGCCGAGAGATAACCTTGAGTCGCGAATACGAAGCAGGCAGAATTAGGCGGACTTCTGCTGGAGGCAGAGATGAGAAGGAACAAGGGTAGTGCTGAAAAGGGGAGAATCAATGTATTGTAAATTGGCCTGGCATCACGACCCTGTGGGAAATAACACAGCAAGTTAAGACTTTTTGGCCAGCAGCTATACAAATACAGATGCAAACACGAGAATTCATCCCCCTGCAGAATCCAAGAAGGTGTTTTGCACAGGCACACCACAAGGATGGAAGTCATCTGCCTGGACACCAACTGATACCAGATACCCATTTCTGTGTCTGACCTTCCTCTTTTCTGCTCTTAGAATACCTGACTCTTTCAGGGTAGAGACCAAGAACGGGCTCACCATCTCCATCGCAAACATGAAAGGACGGGGACCATATAAACAGAAGGGTGGGAAAGGAAAAAACTATATTAAGACGTGTACCTCCACATGAGAGGAATACATAGGTAGAGAAAAGCGCCAGAGATTAGTGAACTGGTGACCATAGGGGAAGACAAAGAGGAAATGCAGCAGAGAGAAACCCAGCCAGAATAAAAACACTGCTCTCCCACAGTGGGTGGGCACCCAGGCATAAATGTGCTGTCCTTACCAATACTCCACACCCACGATCTGTAAGGCACACTCATTCATTTGCTGTGTTTTTTTCTTCCCTGATTTTTACATAGTTCTTTTTCAAAGTTTTTAATAATGGTTCATTTAAAAACTTATTTATCTGCTGAAGGTTGAGTAGATATTAAGAAAGCTAAGCTAAAGATTTTTTTAAATATAATTTTTTATTGAAAAAAAGATTTCCGCCTCCTCCCCGCCTCCCATTTCCCTCCCCGTCTCCCTTTTCCCCCCTTCTCCCTCTTCTCTCCCCCTCCCTCTCCAGTCTGAGGGGCAGTCAGGGTTCCCTGCCCTGTGGAAAGTCCAAAGTCCTCCCTGCTCCATCCTGGTCTAGGAAGGTGGACATCCAAACTGGCTAGGCTCCCACAAAGCCAGAACATGAAGTAGGATCAAAACCCAGTGGAATTGTCCTTGGCTTCTCAGCAGCCATCATTGTCCGCCATATTCAGAGAGCTAAAGATTTTAAAGAACGAAACTCGGATGTGTTTTTCAGAGCCACAGGAGTCCGAGTATATATGTGTGTCTGTCTGTTTGTCTGTGTATGTAAAAGGATATATGATAAGAGAGATAAGTAAATATGGTGACATTTTAATGTGTGCGCTACCTTGATAGTGTATGTGAGTATCCATAACTGAATTCATGAACTTCCCTCATAATTGAAAGAATTCATTATAAACAATCATGGAGTCCGGGTAGATGTGGACCTCTCACATAGGATCAATATTGTGAAATTTCATTTTTATGTTAGAAATTATATTTTTCAAGAAAAGAAAGCCGGGAAGATACATGGCACCAGGTGTTTGAATTAGAAGGAAGAGACTAGAGAGATCTAATGTATTATTCCCCGAGTCCAAACAGAAGGAACAGGATTTAGCCAGGGGAAATGGCTGAGCAAATAAAATAGCAGGAACAGACACAAAAACCCCTGTGACTATGTATATAAAAGCAAGGGAGAAGCTCGAGTCCATCCTGAGTCCTGGGTCTCCGGCTGGGATGACTGAGGAGACCGGAGAAAGAGAGGTCTAAGGGGGTTGGGACGTTATCTCTCCATTGCATAGATTTATAACTGAGTCAGTGCTATGGACAATAGTTCTCCCTGTCACTGGGGTGATGTGGTAGTAACTCCCCCTCGATCTCTGAAAGCCCGAAAAGACAACATGTTATACACGTGCCCTGAGAATCCTGGGCCCCAGCCTGAGGGAGAACAGTCACAAATACCCATATGCTTCTCCAGGAAGCCACCTGCTTAGCTCTCCCAGCCTGAAAGATTTACAGGATTTAATGGACTTTTTTTTTTTTTCTAATGTAGAAACTGCTTTATCAAGGGCCTGAAGTGGTAAAAGAGAAACTATACAACCTTCGTCTCTTCGTTTCTAAACAGTGGACTTCATAATCACGGAGCTCATCTGCCATGTTTTAGTCACCCAGACCCCAGTTATTCTTAAACAGATAACTGGATAAACCGCATGCTATATGTAGGAAAAACGCATCAATGAATACAGCTTACAGTTAGTTTAACACCTTCCCTTCAGCATTGGTCATTTCCAGCTATCTGGCCCCTGGCTGTGAACAGCATAGCCTGAAACCTGACATCGTGAATGGAACTCCTGATGTACTGTGGGTCCCAAGAGCTCCTCACTCAGCAGAACAAGTCAATTGCTATGCAGGAGTCTCCATTCAGATACCACAACAAGTAATCAAACCCGGGGCTGCTGCGAGGAAAAGAAGGCAAGCTACCCAGTGTCGTGAGGGTCAGTAGGGTGGCATGGGACACAGAGGGACAAGAGAGGAAGGCTCTAACAAACATCGAGACACAACCCTACAACGGGAACACTTCCGATTTTTAGTTACGTATTTCAAAATTTAGATACTGCTTCACTGTGAATGAACTATTTAAAAGATTAGTTAATTCACACACTACTATATAATTATAATAAAAGTTGAACTCCAATTAACACAAAGTAACACTGAGCCAGACATACTATAATCCCAGTTACTCAGAAGGCTAAAGCAAGAATAGTATAAATTCAAGGCCAGCGACCACAATTTAGAAGCACCCTGTTTCTAACTAAACTGGATAAGGATTGATGTAGTTTAGGTACCTGCCTAGAAAGCTTAGCCTTTGGACCACAAAATGAAGGGAAGAAGAGATAGAGGAAGGGGAAGAGAAGGGAAACACGAGGAAGAAAAAGGTTATATAAATCATAGCGTTTCTGCTAAACTTCCAGAATCCAACAGCACAAACATATTATAAAATATAATTTGAGGCCAGGTATGACAGTACAGGCCTTTAATCTCAGCCCTCAGAAGGCTTTAAAAAAAAAAAAGTGGATCTCTGTGAATTTGAGACCCTCCTTATCAACATATTGAATTTGAGGCCAGCCAGAGCTACATAGTGAGAACCTGTTTGAAAACAAACCAAAACCAAAACAAAACAAAAAGGGGAGTATCAGGGGAGGTGGCTTAAGTCTTTAACCCCATCATTTAGGAGGCAGAGGTCAGCCTGGTCTACAGAGCAAGTTCCAGGACAGCCAGGGCTACACAGAGAAACCCTGTCTCAAAAAGCAAACTAACTAATTGATTAATTAATTAATTTAAAAAATTTATAAACCAGAGGATAAAATATAATTTGGGGAGTACTTAGTTTGGGGAGGCAACATTTTATTTTAATGTATATGACTTTGGAAACCCACATTTTCTGAATAAAATCGAGCACACATGTTCCTGATGTCAGGGACTCTTATTTAATTCCTCATGGTTTTCATTTAATAGTGCATGTTCCATCACTAACCCACACACAGTTTATTTTGCTTTAGCTGAATGCGCTTGTCATTTCGCGTGCAATTTCCTCCCTTGCACGATCTCTCTCTGCTCTCCTTTTCACTTTTACAGTAAATGGGTACTCATTCGGAAAGCCTGCCCACCCTGCCTTGGTTCCCCAGATATTTAAAAACAAATTCTACCCATAAAAATGTGGAAGACGTGCAGCATGTGTTTGTGATTTTGAAGAAACCTAAGCCGTTTAACCATACTGAGCCGCATTCCGATAACTTAATTGGGGCTGTTTTCCAAGAAAGAAGCAAGCAAGAAGCCGAGATGGGCTGCGTCACAACAGCTGGGATACCTGCATTCTCAGGCCAGCGTCTGAGTACAATCCACATGGTAAGGCGAATAAAGCATCGGTTTAGCCCTCTGACTTGTTAGCGGCACATCCCTATTACGAGACAAATGGACGAGCAATTGCAGCCACAGATCTATTGGGATAGCACCCTGGAAAGGCTGAAACATGGTGGTCTGCGCTAGACCTAGAGCGGACCTCGGATGGGTGCAAGCCAGGCCTTCTCACCCTGAGCCTCGAGTTAACGCTAGACACATCTACAGACTTCCAGCTGGCCACGTGACTCCTCACTTGAGGGTCCACACGTAGGAATAATAATTGACTCGGCCCAGTGAGCACTCTAAATTTCAGCAGAGCAAATTAATTTAAAATATGTCTATTAAGTCAAGGGTAGTGGTGCATGGACTAATAATCCCAGCACTAAAGGGGCTGAAACAGAAAAATCGTCTATCGAAAGCCACCCGGAGCTAAATAAACAGATACAATCTTTAAAAAAAAATTAAATAAAAATGATATAATTTATAAACAGCATTTTTTTGCTGGTCTATGAAAGTCTGTGTTAAAGAATAGACATTGTTAATGACACTTTCAACCAAATAAATATATTTAAATTTTGAGTGATTCCCTCAAGTACTATAAACATAGAAATGTAGTTCTTTTTTTTTTAAAAAAAAAAAGGATGAAAGAAAGCAAAGAAACTGAAATCTCATTTATAAATGAAATTAATTTCAAATCCATATAGGATGTAAAACCTTAACCTGGAGAACTTGGTTCATGAACTCAAGGTTCCGGAAGACATTGTTCATTGCGGAAGCTAACTGGCTGGCTTTGGCATTAGGTACAGAGGAGAGTTTCACACGTTGGAAACGATGGAAACAGCATTTGGAATCCTTCCTCATTACATGCCCAAGTGAATGTGCTTATATTCTCGGGCATCATCGAGCAGGATTTAAGAACACAGCTGAATAATGACACAGGCAGTCATAAAAAGCATTTAATATGTACAGAAATCTAATGTCTTGGACTTACAGATTATGTCTTCCCAAAAGGTCTATTCTAAAGGCATCCCCAAACAGAACCTTTTGTTTTGTTTTGTATTTTTGAAACAGGGCTTTTCTGTGTAGCCCTGGAACTCCTTTATAGACCAGGGTAGCCAAACTCAGAGGTCCACCTGCCTCTGCTTCCAGAGTGCTGGGATTAAAGGTTTACGCCACAACAACCTAAATCCAAACAGAGGCTGTTTGCCTAGATTATGTTTCAATTAAACACTTAAATGCTGAACTTTAATAGTTTTAGAATTTTCTAGGTAAGTAAGTGTTCCAAAACACATGCTCTGTCGATTACAGATAAAAAAAAAAAAAAAAAAACACTGCACTTGTTTTCTAGCTGAGAGATTTGGAGAAAAGAAAATTAAACATTACACCAGACCAAGCAAATGAAAGACAATAATACTGCGGCTAACCTAGTCAGAGAGATCTTTGAAAGAGAATCAAGCGCAATATTTATATTCTTGAGGGAAGAGTTTTGTTTCAGAAAAATATTTGGTACAGTTTCTACTGAATCACATTAAGAATGTTGTAAAAACCACCACAAAACCAACTGGCCTCAAATTCAACACAATGACATGTGTTTTTCAACCTGTAATCAGCATCCACTAAATGTTCCCTTCGGTTATTAAAATCCTGGAAAGAAACCACCATCACCCATCTGGGAATATGGCCTCTAAAGTATGAGAACTTCCAAATTGAACAATTTCTAGGCTTACCTTTCTTACTGATTTTTCAAATCCCTTGATCACATTTTCACAGAGGAAGATCTTGCCTACCAGGAAAAAGCAAAGGCCTGGGACAAGGCTACAAAGTTGCAAATATATATACTGAGCAAGCAAATCAAAAGTAGGAAATGAGGAAGAGAGTTACAGTGCTGGATTCTATGTTGGAAATTGGCTAAGAATACATTTTTTTGGTAACCACAAGGTAATAATGGACATTTACAGG